AAAACCTTTTACAAAAAAGGAAGTAAATTTAGGGATGGTTAATATCAATCCTTCAAAAACAATACAAACATTTGCATTTGCATCATCCCTACATAACAGCACAGGCAAGAATTAAGATATAGAAATTTATAAAACTATTCAATTACAATCAAGTCTAATTTATCCTACTTTTTTGTTAACATTCTAGTACACCATGTGCCTGTGCTATTATGTAGCGATGATGCAAATGCCATCCCTACTAGTACTAATGATAATAAAAGTAGTTGATGTACAAACCTCAAGTGCTTCAAAAGTGATGTTAAGTAGCACAGGGTATGCTATTTGGATGATATCTAACTACCCAGTAGAGACCTTATTGTAAGTACAAGTGTGAGATAAACATTAGCATTAAGCAGCCTCAATGGATGTGTAGTTGCTCCAAAACTACTGCTTTGGAGAGATACCCAAAAAAAAGGCTGAAGTGGACAAAAGACTTCAAACAAAAGAATTAATCCAAATTCATCTTGTCTGGCAACAATCAATTACAGTTCAATAGCACAGACTAGAAGAATATTATGGTCAACATATAGCATCTACAGAATATCATAAAACAAATGTATCACTATTTAAAGCAAATGTAAAATACAAGTACATTATACTAGGTATTTGCTTTTCTTTTTACATTTTCTGTTATAATGTATTATAAATTTATAATACAAATAACAAATTAACCACTTAGTTACAATTATTCATTTTTTGTGACTTATGTATGCATATCACTTGTGTTTCATAATTATTTTCAAAATTCAGATAATCATATAACTGAAAAGAAATGCATTTTTAATGTACATATATTAAGACAAGCCAATAACACTGTCCTGAAACAATTTGTATTAAAACATACTATTTTATAATATGTAAATCAACAAATAGACTTAAAATAAGACCCAAAAAACTCAAGCGCTTTCGCATAGTTTTCAACTATTCGAAAGCGCTCAAGTTTTGGGTCTTATTTTAAGTCTATTACACTTTATGTGTGATCCTATGTGCTAACTCTTATCAAAATTAAATCAACAAATGATAATTTTAGCTAAAATAAGCATTACTTAAAGACTTCTCATCAATGTATTTTGAAAAATGTACAACTAACTGCTACATAATAACAGAAAATATCCCTTATTCTTGACAAGCAAATTAAATTTATAATATTAAAAAACATACGAGTGAAAACAATAAACCAATTCACTACAGTAACATTGTGAGGAATGATACGACTCACAGCTTGTTTTACATACTAATTAGAAACTACAGAATAAAAGTTGAATAAAATAGTATCAATACCTTTAACCGTTGCAGTACGAGTGCAGTTGTAAAGTATAGCCAATTCACCAAAAACTTTCCCTGGTCCTAGTGTACAGAGAAATTTTCTATCCTTTGATACTTCTACTTTCCCCTCTGAAAAACAATAAATTAAAAATGGTAATGACCTTCACCAAATTCCTTAACTTAAAATTGATAAAATTATACTAGACGTTACAAGATTCAAACTGACACCATTTTGTTAAGGACTATTTCAACATTTTTCCTACGTGATTATGAATGCTATAGTATGTTTTTGTTCATAGCTCACTGAAATCAACCCAAAATCAAAATTTTTGATTTTTTTAATTTTAATTATAAAATTGAATAAATAAGCTTTTCATTGAATAAATTTGAACTCTGAAACATTAAAAAAATATGTATGAAAGAACCACTACAAGTTTATTTTATAGAATTTTTTCAATTTAATGATACAACTTGTCTCATAAGGCAAGGTGCAACCAGTTGGGCATCATAGACTTAAAATTATATAGCTGTACATATACATTAAAATCACTTTGAATGTAGATATATGCTTTAATTTAAATTAAATCAAAACCATGTGATTCTCGCACATTTCTTTTGATACACATATACCCATGGCACTTCTCCTCATATACATCTAATTTATCCTTGACTTTAAAAATGCAAACTCCTGTTCCCTATGGGTCAGCAATCTGCGTGGGTGCACTGCTCTCACTACCCTTGATATGGTCTTGTGTATATCTGCTATTCATTTGAAAATATTTTATCCGTGTTACCTCAAACAGCACTTAAGAAAATCAGCAAAAACAAAAACTGCTCTGGTACAATTAAATCAAAACAAACCAGTAGAAAAACTTACACCACAAAAAATGGCTAATGTTTAACAGATGTATTAATGTTCATAAATTTTCAGTCTAGGACACCCTTACTCTAGTGATTTTAAACATTAAAATCATCAGAGGAAGGGTGTCTCAGCCCTAAACATTGTGAACATTAAAATATCTATTTAACATTAGCCATTTTTGTGGTACAAGTGTTCCACTTTTTTGTTTTTAAAAAGCCCTTAAGTTTGATTTATCAATCAAAGATTGTGAGACATGAGTTCCAATTGATTTTTAATGTTAACAAAGGGCACTAAAGAACATTAATGTCAAAATTTTTTCCTTCCAACATTTAAAACAGTATTTACAGTTTTTAAATTTGTACACACATGCACATAAAACAGTTAACCATAGAATTATCAGTGAGATCCATATAGACACCATTGACTTTTCAAACACATCTTTCTAAATTACTTATGCACAAATTGCTTGTTGGTTAAAGGGTCCTTAAATACAAGTCAAATAAGAAAAGAAATTACACAAAAAATTTCACCAATATTGTAATAAATCCCTCAAATTCTGCTGGGGTCTAATATGAATTCATATAATTAATGCCTAATTTTTTTAGTCATTTCTTAACATCAATGAGTATTGTAAACAAATGAAATATAGTTATTCAATATGACGTAAGAAATGTAAACCAAAAATAAGTCATAATTAGTGTTAAAGTAAAATGCATTATTTACTTTTTTTTTTACCTGTGATTAAAGTAGAATATGCAAATCTATCTTGTGAAATTATAATGAAATAAGAACGTTACAACTTTAGGTGAAGAAATGATTAACAGTTTTTCTATAAACTAAGCCTCCATTACATCTCTTCTATAAATAATTGGTATAAAAGTTGTTCCTGTTTAAACTCTCAGATACAGTTGAGGTACATTTTAAAACCTAATTGTTGCCTTTGTTTCTTTTTTTGGTTTAAAGACAAAATTTCACTTTTGCAATCTTCTTTTGTTATATACAAATTCACTTGTCCTCGCTGTCAGCAGGATTATATTGGCTCTACCAAAAGAAAATTAATAACTTGTATAAAACAATATACTTATACTAGGTCTTTAGTTAAGTCTAACATACTTAGACATGCCCTAAGTGAATGTATTATAGTCTTTGCTAATTTATAAACGGAGGCCTGAGATCAATGTTCTCAGTGTTACTTTCAATACACTACTAACTTAAAATACTTAATAGTTGGCTGTTACACTAATCTTGACAGTTTCTAAAAGTCCCCCCCCCCCATCAACATCAGGCAACTACAGATGTATTATAGTATGCTAAGAATCACAGTTGTAACACTTATATAATAAAAAACGTTATAAACTAAATATTTCCACATATACATCAATTGCTCCACTCAGATGTATGCTTCTTCCTTCAGGTAACATTTCATGTTATGAATGTAGATGGGTTGATGTTAGATAAAACTGCAATTTTCAGTTGATAAAAATTTTGTATCGTTACCTGATGCAAGTTAGTATGGTTTTAATTTTGATGCAATAAATACACTCTTTCTTAGCAGTAAAATCTTTTGTTAAATTTATGCTGACACATAAAATTGGGTGGCCATGACAAAAATGAACTTTACCATAACATTTAAGATATGAAGAAAGCGTCCCGTAAGACAATGTCCTGAAGAAAATAAATAATAACACTACATATAACATATAAATGCTTACCTTCCATGACAAATACAACAGATCCAACTTCTCCTTCTTTAATAATCAAACTATCTTTAGCATATTCAACTGGATACATGCAGTCTGTGATCTCTCCTATCTGCACTATTTCAAGATTTTTCATGAAATCATTATCCAAGATAGCATTCTTGATTAATTCTTTTGATCTGAGAAGATAAAACATACAAGTTTATTTTTCAGATTTTGAATTCCTATCCTACATATTGATGTGAAGAATTTAACTCCCAAAAATTGTAATATCTTATTTTTTATATATTACAATGCATACAAAAATCTGAAAAAAAAAATCCAACTCTCCCTTCAAGAGAATGTACAGTTCTACAAAAAACATGTAAGAAACATAATCCAGTGTGATCTACTAAAGTTCCCAAATATCAGGTATTATAAAAAATGGAATTACTGACACAAGTAACAAACATATTTAATATGCTGCAGTATGTCATCTGGATTATATGATCCAGATTCCCAAATTTTTCAAATGCAAAAAGAAAACTTTTTGTGAGAAACATGATTAGAACAACAATTGGTTACAATTATGAAAGAAAAATAAAATCAACAGGATTTTTCAAAAGAAATATACACTCAAACAACAACAACAAAAATGAAAGAAACATTGCATCTTAAACAGAAATTTAATACCAAATATTAATATCATACATACATTTACTGTTTTATATTTTGATAAGAAAGACAGTGTCCTTTATCAGCTTAAGTTTTTAGTTTTACAATCAATATCCATATCATGCCCTAGCATACCAAGTTTTTATTACAATACCTCAGCAGAATGAGCTATGTATATTCGTACTGTCTATTAATGGTTTGGGCAAACATGTTATTACAAACAGAATATTAAAATCATATAGCATTCCTGCCCTGTTTTTCCATTAATTAAAATCCATTACATGCCATAAGTTAGAAATGTAACAAATTAATTTGTATACACTACATTATTTACCTCATATCATAAACTACACAGTTTAACAACATTTAGGGTTAAAATATTGAGAAAAATTGGTTTCAATAATGGCTTTTTATATTTTTTAATCATAATGAGCTCATTTATAATTAAATAATTTTTCATCTAGCATTTTAAGATGATGATCAGTTGAGAAAGTTATTTCACAAAAAAGTGTGATCATCTAAAACTGGTCACTAGATTGAGGATACCATGTACCACGTTTTCTTATTAATTATTTTTATTCTAAAAAATTGAAACAACTTGCATGAAACCTTCTATCTTTCAGTTTAAATAACTGAGTTTTCTAGATATATGAAATAACGATTCTGGACAAGAGTGACAAAATGAACACAATCCTTATTACAGAAAATACAGTGTAGGTACTTGTGCATAAGAAAACATAATCGCTTCTGTTTGATTGTGATTAGCTGCAAAACTTTCCTTCTGTTGAACTAAACACAATTATATTAAAATAAGTCTTTACTCTAAGCACTCCAGGTAGAACTGAACAAAGATTCTGAACCCGAGTTCAAAAGATAAACTTCGTTTCTTTGGCCAGTTGACAGCATCATCTCATGACCTTTGTTTTCTCACAGCATTGGTCAGCTCTAATATTCAGACATCAAGTCAGCCATTAGCCAGCAATGGATATTACAGTTGCTAATCCTTTCAAACTAGCTGCTATATTTTACTGCAAGTCTGCAACGTCCTCTTAGACAGAATAGATACTATCTACCATAGAGAAGGGTAACAAAGCAACTATAACATGGCAATCTCAACGACTTTCTGAACCACCACCGTGTTTATGCTAAAAATACACATAAAAAAATAAGCAAGTAGAAATTATATGATATGCATACCTGAGGGGAAATATAATGATGAACAGGGTGGTGCAAAAGTTTCACCCCATGGAGGATGAGAGTAACAATAACAAAAAAATGTGTGTTTCGAAGTTAATGGGAAGCAATACGAAAGTTGACTTTAATAAACAAAAGAGTAAGTACTTTTTATGTGTTGTTATTCAAAATCCCTGTGGGGTGTGACTTTTGTGGCCACCATGTATAAGAATGTGTATGTTCAAACATCATAATATAAATATATATATACTACAAATAGTTTATTTATGGCACTAAATACATATCTAACATGGTGCAAAAATAATTGGATATGTTATGTCAAAAACAGTATTATGGAAAAGCATCATATCTGTTTGCCAGCCACTCAAAACAGCAGTCACACCAGTAAACTGTAAAGTAACTGATGTTGAACAAGATATCCCAATCATCTATACTATTATTCTGCTTGTTTGCATGTACGACCATTACGCTTTCTGACTGAGAATCTGCTGCTTAAGCATGCATAGTTATAATGTTTCTCCAAGAAAAACCGCACATGTGCATTATTCACTCGATGACAAACTGTCTGCCTGCAGCAGAGAGCTGTAAAGCTCAATGATCAAGTCGATACAATTGCTGCATGAAACAAGAAGTAACAACTAAAGGGGAATGTAAATATACTTTACTAACCATTTTGTACAACAGAATATTAAAAACTTAACAGTTTTCAAAAAACGTTTTACGTTAGGTCGTAGAATAACATTATAAGTTTATTTATTGATAGTATTAAGTGCAGTAGTTTAGTACTAACTCAACTAAATAAAATAAAAAAAACGTACAGAAGTTAGTGTTAATTTACCTCTTTATCGAACTTAGGCCTAACATAAGTTAAAGTTTTATAAAGTACGGCATATATACAAGTGGATTTACACATTTCGTTGTCTACGATTACAATTCGTTTGTATTGTGCTAGATATGTTATATTTAAAGAAGTACTGTTACGATAAAGATACTAATTTGGCCGGAAATGTTTTGCGGGTCTCTGCTAGTACCAATTATACTATAAATGCATACAGCTGGAAACTGGCTGACACAGACACGTAGTTACACCAACATTGAAAAAAATAGCCCTGTAAAAATTTTGAATTATTTCTGTTTAATAATTACAACCTTGTTACAAGGCTTGTGGGTTACCAAAATGTGGGTTATCTCATTGCACTTCTATAAACGTTAACACCATCTGAGTAACTTAAAACTAAAACTTAACTATTAATGTATTCGGAGGAAAACGAAGTTTCACAACAGAAATGACAACAATACTTAAGATAAACAACACTGTTAATTTATAACGTAAGGAAACCCAGATAAACGTTTCGGAATTCAACAGATTCCATCTCCAGTATCTAAAGCAAAATACAAGAATTACACTATTCCTAAGTAAGTAACTAAAAATTCCGAAACGTTTATCTGTGTCTCCTTATGTTATAAATAAACAATGCTGTTTAACTTAAGTATCGTTATCCTTTTTTACTGTAAAACTTAAACTTATTTAAAACCAGCTGATCCATAAAGCACGGTTGTTTGTGGTTTTAACTTGTTTCTCGTTGACAACTACTGCCACCTATTATACGATCTAATGAGCGATCCATGTATTTCACTTTTACAAGTTTTAGATATTTGTAGTCAAGGTTTCTTGTTTTTCAAAAATTGTACTAATGGTTGAAAAACACAGGCCCGCCGACAGGGAGGGAGCAACTGAAACCTGGTTATGCCGTAAAGCCCGCAAAGCATCTTTAGGCTGTATCTTCATTTAATGATAAAAACCATAGTTTCTGGATTTTCTTTGCATATAGACGCTTGATACATTAAGAACGACTGAAATAATAATTTGAGTAATAATTAATATGTATTTGTTACTTTATAGATTTAATAGATATTTGTTGGTACTTTATAAACGTTTTTACACATATACTGTGAGGTAAAAACGGCTGCTGCTATGATTTTTCTGGTTTATGAGCTCGTTGCTGTCGTAATTTAGAATCTTCTTTTTAATAAATTCTTGAAAATGTAAAAAAAGATATTTATTCATAACAAAGAAGGTAAATCTGAACGTGAACTATTTCATAAGAAAACCTTTACAGGTCTGTGACAGCTTTAAGTCAGTTTAAGAAAAATCTGGTAAAATTATAAGATCATCAAGTATATAAAATAAACAGCACATATATTTTTTTCTTAAAGAACTCGAAAACAAAAAAAATTTATACAAAAAAATGACTTTCCAATAGGCATTATAAATCATATTATCTGTGTCTCTTTAAATGTTATGAACGTTCCTAAACAGCCAATCTGGAAAATTGTTACACAAACATTTGTAGTATTACCATTCACAGCTGAACAGGCAATTTTAATCAGAAACCAACTAACTAAATTATTTCATTGCACTTATCCCCAAGCTCAATTAAATGAATCTTTATGTCTGAATGTAGTCTGTAGATTATAACACATTTCCAGATATAAAGATCGAATAGCTATATTTTAAACGTCAAATATATGCAAATTTGAAATCTGCGTCTTTCTCCAGCATTAAGAATATAAGTAGTGAACAATTCAATATCCGCCCAAGAGCAAATAATAAACAAGAACTGCTATGAAGGCAAGTCTATTTATCAACAGACATCAGGTGAACCAGAAGGACACTCAGTAGAGCGCATACCTCCGCCATGTAGTGTTGATCATACTCGGATATAAAAAAAGTACGAAAATGTGTCCGTATGTCCGTCGATATCAACGCACACAGACAATTTTTGGCAGGACAATAAGGAATACTATTCTATATATGTCCACCAATTTTCATCAAAATTCGATTGACTGAGTTATAGAGCGAAAATAGTGAAAAAATCAGTACCCCATGTTAACATATAAATATTTTTTGGATTTTCGTGACCTTGCTGTGACCATGACCTTCCACTTCTAAGTTGGGTTATAGTCCCAAAGTATACCAACATTCGCCCAAATCCACTCGGCCGTTTTCGAGAAATCTTGCTGACAAACACAAACACCCACACAGGGAAGAAAACAACCTTCAGTGGTGGAGGTAATGAAGAGAATAATGCATTTCACTTATAAATAACAAGCTGAAATACCCGTCAACTGAAGGGGATTTGTTTAAATTTAATTAAATAATATAAATTTAACAGCAATCATATATTTCAAAGTAATAAATTCAATATAAACTTTATCTCAAAATTTTAAAATTATAGGAAAGCTTCTTCATAAACATTTGCAGTTTGCTTTCCATCTAACAACAAATAGAGATTTTGAGGTGATCCCACCCTTGAACACTCTACATCTC